TGGAGCCCCAGACCGAGGGTGATTGACCGTCATCTTGAACTTCTTCCATTTTCTAATAATTGCGCCAACAGTTGTTGCCTTCTCACCAAGCTGCGTGCCTATTGTCCTGTAGCCCATCCCAGCCTTGTGCAGGTCTACAATGTTATCCCTGATGTCCTTACACAGCTCTCTGGTCTTGGCCATTGTGGAGAGGTTGGAGTCTGTTTGATTGAGTGTGTAGACAGGTGTCTTTTATACAGGTAACGAGTTCAAACAGGTGCAATTAATACAGGTAATGAGTGGAGAACAGGAGGGCTTCTTAAAGAAAAACTAACAGGTCTGTGAGAGCCGGAATTTTTACTGGTTGATAGGTGATCAAATATTTATGTCATGCAATAAAATGCAAATGAATTACTTAAAAATCATACAATGTGATTTTCTGGATTTCAGACCTCTACATGCTTTGTAAGTAGGAAAACCTGCAAAATCGGCAGTGTATCAAATACTTGTTCTCCCCACTGTACACACATACTTGTTCTTTATCTTCATCTCTCACACACACACACACACACACAAACACACATACAAACACACATACATCCACACACACACACATACATCCACACACACACGGAAGACCTTCATAGAGACCCCTGGCTGCTACACATCCAGGTGATCATATAGAAAAGCCGCCCGCTCATACGGACTCTTTTGGTGATGAACCGTACGCTCTGAATGTGTTATATAGGAGTTGTAAAGCATTTGTTAAAAACTGCCAGGGTTGGAGGGTGCCACTCTCTCAGGCCTGCCACAGCACATAAAGCCAGCTGGCCAGGTCTCTGCAGAGAGAGTGCTGAGGGAATGTATAATGTATGTACAGACAGAGAGCAGGCGCCCCCACCCCAGAGGCCACCGTGGTGACAAGTGTGAGGATAGTGTGTGTGCAGCAGATAGTGACTGTCAAGTGCGCCCCCACAAAGAGGCCCATTTCAGAAGCAGTTTCCATTCCTGGTGCACAAGTGGAGTAGATGAATGGTGTGTTTGATACTTTAACTATCTTTAGACACACATACCTGTTCCATATTTGTTCATACCAAAATGTGTTCATACAACCACCTGTTGGAAGTCTGTGCTAGAATTGGTGTGCTGGACCCAATAACTCTCCCAGCATTTCGCTACACCCACAATAACATCTGCTAAACATGTGTATGTGACAAATAAAATGTGATTTGATTTGATTTGAGATTATCGTCACATTGGACAGTCATCTGGAAAAAAACGCACGGCATCTCTCACATCCACCCGCAGCAAAACACTGGAGTCCACAGCACTGGAGAGAGTAGGATAAACCTTCATCGTGACAGAATTAGTAGAAAAAGGTCAAGGAGATGGAATGGAGCACGCCTTCACGTGGCTGGAGGACTGTCTGAGGATTCCATTAACAACTCAGTGGAACAAGCAGCATTGTTCAGGATCATTTTGAGCCTAAGTTATCTTTCCCCTCATATCTTCTAGGGCTACAGTGGGGAAAAAAAGTATTTAGTCAGCCACCAATTGTGCAAGTTCTCCCACTTAAAAAGATGAGAGAGGCCTGTAATTTTCATCATAGGTACACGTCAACTATGACAGACAAATTGAGGAAAAAAATCCAGAAAATCACATTGTAGGATTTTTTATGAATTTATTTGCAAATTATGGTGGAAAATAAGTATTTGGTCACCTACAAACAAGCAAGATTTCTGGCTCTCACAGACGTGTAACTTTTTCTTTAAGAGGCTCCTCTGTCCTCCACTTGTTACCTGTATTAATGGCACCTGATTGAACTTGTTATCAGCATAAAAGACACCTGTCCACAACCTCAAACAGTCACACTCCAAACTCCACTATGGCCAAGACCAAAGAGCTGTCAAAGGACACCAGAAACAAAAGTGTAGACCTGCACCAGGCTGGGAAGACTGAATCTGCAATAGGTAAGCAGCTTGGTTTGAAGAAATCAACTGTGGGAGCAATTATTAGGAAATGGAAGACATACAAGACCACTGATAATCTCCCTCGATCTGGGGCTCCACGCAAGATCTCACCCCGTGGGGTCAAAATGATCACAAGAACGGTGAGCAAAAATCCCAGAACCACACGGGGGGACCTAGTGAATGACCTGCAGAGAGCTGGGACCAAAGTAACAAAGCCTACCATCAGTAACACACTACGCCGCCAGGGACTCAAATCCTGCAGTGCCAGACGTGTCCCCCTGCTTAAGCCAGTACATGTCCAGGCCCGTCTGAAGTTTTCTAGAGTGCATTTGGATGATCCAGAAGAGGATTGGGAGAATGTCATATGGTCAGATGAAACCAAAATAGAACTTTTTGGTAAAAACTCAACTCGTCGTGTTTGGAGGACAAAGAATGCTGAGTTGCATCCAAAGAACGCCATACCTACTGTGAAGCATGGGGGTGGAAACATCATGCTTTGGGGCTGTTTTTCTGCAAAGGGACCAGGACGACTGATCCGTGTAAAGGAAAGAATGAATGGGGCCATGTATCGTGAGATTTTGAGTGAAAACCTCCTTCCATCAGCAAGGGCATTGAAGATGAAACGTGGCTGGGTCTTTCAGCATGACAATGATCCCAAACACACCGCCCGGGCAACGAAGGAGTGGCTTCGTAAGAAGCATTTCAAGGTCCTGGAGTGGCCTAGCCAGTCTCCAGATCTCAACCCCATAGAAAATCTTTGGAGGGAGTTGAAAGTCCGTGTTGCCCAGCGACAGCCCCAAAACATCACTGCTCTAGAGGAGATCTGCATGGAGGAATGGGCCAAAATACCAGCAACAGTGTGTGAAAACCTTGTGAAGACTTACAGAAAACGTTTAACCTGTGTCATTGCCAACAAAGGGTATATAACAAAGTATTGAGAAACTTTTGTTATTGACCAAATACTTATTTTCCACCATAATTTGCAAATAAATTCATTAAAAATCCTACAATGTGATTTTCTGGATTTTCTTTTCTCATTTTGTCTGTCATAGTTGACGTGTACCTATGATGAAAATTACAGGCCTCTCTCATCTTTTTAAGTGGGAGAACTTGCACAATTGGTGGCTGACTAAATACTTTTTTCCCCCACTGTATATCTTAAACAGCTCCACGAGTGAGGTTTAGGTGGATCCCAATGCTGACAGCTCAATAGAACAAGCCTTTCAAAAGATTTGTCTCTATTCAGATCATTCAAATATTTTCCATTACCAAATGTTACCTGAGGGTCTGACTGACTGTAGTTAAGTTTAATGCATTTGTAAGTAGAGTACTAAATCCACAGTTGGTGCGGGACTTAACTCTGTTTTAAAACGTGACGAGATAAATTCCCGCCCTGCCCATGTCTGAAATCTTTTTAAACAGCATCTAACAATGGGCTTGCTCAATTTCCATGTGGAACAGAACTCTTTATGTATGCATCAGATAGTGGTTTTGCATTATGCCCTTTGTGTGTGTACACGTAACCTCCTTGGTGTTTGTGTGATGCAGCAGGTTGCCCGGCCGTACCAAGGGCCACATTTACATGGGCCTAATCTGGGCCAGATATTCCTGGATGACACAGATAATGATAAAAGGCCCCATATCCTGGGAAAGTCATGTGACCTTGTGACTGGCACTGTCATATTCCCCCATCATCAGCCCGTTGTGGAGCTAATTAGATGAACATTTGCAAGTGTTCTGTGCGTTAGTGAAACTACAGCACTGGAACTATAGGGCGGATCATTTTCATTCTGTTGATTTAATAGCTTTTGTCACTGGGATGTTAGGAGTACAGATGTGGTGCTTGTTATTTGTACTGTGCAATATGTTAACATGACTTGTGCTCATGGACGATTTTTGGTTTCGTAAGCCTCACACATTTTGATCTCTTTGGCCCTTCGCCCCTGTTTTACTTTATGGGTAAATCTTGTTTGCAATTATAAAAAAAAAATATATATTCTACTGACCCGTTGTAAGTCATCGTTCGGATTCAGAAACGTCTATGTCGCACAATCCGTCATAAGTAAACTTTAGTGAGACATCTTTCTACCCACATATTGGCTCTGCTCTCCAAGAATCGCCTCATGTATTTTTTAGCACCGTCCAGCGACGACCATCAGGTTAGCTTACTTACTGCTTTTTCTTAGGGACCAGTGTTGGCCTCAATGAAAGTACAATTTTTTTTTTTTTCAGCAGAAATATGTATTAGAATCCACAGCGTTGACCTCTGACCTGTATATGCTCTATACTCTGGGGCCCTAAATAACTCAAGCACGGCCAAGCTGACGCTTCAGAGGCCAATAAACAACAGATGTTCCAGAAGAAACAGCATTAAAAAAAAAAAAAGATCCTAACTCTTATAAATAAACTAAGGAAAGAACCTATTTCTCCCTCCACTCAAGTCTCTGCAATATGGATGTTAGTTTAGTTGCACCCAAGCTTACAGAGTATATGCATGTGGTCTGGTAAGCAGTAGCTATCTTGCCTCAGTAGACGGAATATTTGCTCAATGATCATACTCTGAGCAAGTCATTAGACATGCTTTTAATGGGTCAAGTTTCAATATAATTCATATCATAACTGGAGCCTAGCATTCAGAGTAGGAGTATTATATGTCCATTTTATCAAGATTGCATTAATGTCACTGCTGTAAACCTGATTGGATCAAATCCTTGAAGAAAATGTCATCTATGCCATCTAAAGGGCTCTCCACAGTGATTTCACATTTCACCGTCTACGCAAACGGAGTACATAGAGAGCCACGCAAACGAACCACCGTCGATCCCTTTAATGTCCCATGGTTGAGGGCTCAGTGGGGATGAATGAGTGACGCCTGATACTGGTAAATGTTAGCTTGACTGGTACCTAGACTTTGGTACACTGTCCCATCACCTCACAGTGGTATCCATTGTAAGTGTAGGTTCTGTGTGTTCAGGTTAGGCTACCTGATGCTGGCATGTTAACAGACTTATAGACCCTGACATTGTCCCTCTGTTTCCCTATGCTGCAGTGCTAGAGAAGAGTCAGCGGCAGCAGCTTGAGGCGGTGAGCTATACTTCGCGCTACGCCCTGGGCCTCTTCTACGAAGCCCAGGCTCACATCGACGTCCCCTGGGCCGCCAAGTACATTTCCAACAATCCCTGCATTCGCTTCATCGCCATTGACGATAAAAAGCGCAATTTAGGTCAGTGCTACCATTTTTCTTTCACTCTGTCTGTGTCTGTCTGACTCCCTTTCTCTTTATTTACGCTTTTTTTCCCCCCCCCCCCCCCTTTTCCCCCCCCCCCCACCCCCCCCTTTCCCCCCCCCCCCCCCCCCCCCCCAAGCTTTTAACCACAGGGGAAAAAGGGGAGGGGGAGAAAATTTTTTCCCCCCCCCAAAACCCATTTCCCGGGGGGGCGAAAACCGGATTAAGCCTAAAATTTAAAATCTCAAATTTACCCTTTTCTCCCCCCCCCCCTCTCCCTGTTTCTTCCAAAAAAAATTTATTTTTTTTTTAAAATTTAAAGTTAGGCGGAACCTTTCTTTCACTTGTCTGTGCTGCGACTCCTCTTTATTTACGCTCTCTTTTTCTGTCTGCCTCTTTCAATCTCTCTCTATCTCTTTTTCTGTTTGCTTTTCTGCATCTCTGTCTCACTCTCACCACCTCCTCTTGCCCTCCTCCGCTCCCTCCTCCTCCTCTCCCTCCTCCTCCACTCCCTCCTTCTCTCTCCCTCCTTCTCTCTCCCTCTCGCCCTCCTCCTCCTCCCCCCTCCTCGCTCCCCTCTCTCCCCCTCCTCGCTCCCTCTCCCCTCCTCTCTCCGCGCCCGCTCCTCCTCCTCTTCTCTCCAAGCTCCTCCCTCCTCCGCTCCTCCCTCTCCCTCTACCCTCCTCCTCGCTCCTCCTCTCTCCTCTCGCCTCCCTCCGCCTCCTCTCCCCCCTCTTCTCGCTCCTCCTCTCCCTCCTCCTCCGCTCCCTCCTCTTCTCACCCCTCCTCTCCCTCCTCCTCCTCTCCCTCCTCCTCCTCATCAACACTCCTCAATCAACTACCTCCTCCTCCTCTCCCTCCTCCTCCTCTCCCTCCTCCGCTACGCTTTAATCTTCTATTTCATTTCGAGAATGTATTTTGCTTGTAGCTGTTGGTTGTTCCATTTGATTTCAATCACTTTTTGACCACACCCCTTCGATTTTAACAACATTTTCCATACATATTTGCCCATGGTAGAAATGGTCAGAAAGTGACTTTTTGGACTTGAATGCCTAAACATTTAGGAGACAGAGGTGCTCAAAGTTGACAAATTTTGCATAACCCCACCCTACCATGAGACATCCATGTCTTCTTCACTGGAAAATATAAACGGTTGAGTTTGATATAATTTAAAAGCTTACAAACAGGGTTGTCAAAGTAGTTTATAATTCTTTGAAAAAAATGTAATCAATTAAAAAATAACAATTTGCTTCATCGCCATTGGTGATAAAAAGCGCAATTTAGGTCAGTGCTACCATTCTCTTTCTCTCTGTCTATCTGAATCCCGTTGTCTTTATTTCTGCCCTCTTTTCCTGTCTCTCTCTTTCAATCTCTCTATCTCCTCTCTCTTTTTCTGTTTGCTTTACTGCATCTCTGTCTCACTCTCTCCCTCCCTCTCTGGAAGGCGTGCGTCAGAATTGCTCTCTAATTGAGTGCCACTGTTCAGCAGGCATATAACTTTCCGCGCTAGCTTATGCCTCCAGTCCACTGGATTCTTCCTTGACTTTATAAAGTTGCATTTGGTGTGCATTCAAAATCCCAATATACAAGTTGTGATGTTTTCATTCAAACTCAACCTTTTTGATGGTGCTGGGGAGAGCCTCCATAGTCCTCAGTATTTGATTGGCTCCCTGAGTGCTGGCCCAGTCAGTCCATTGGTAGTCAGTTTTCATTACTGATTGAACACAGGAGGGAGAAGCATCAGACAATGAGCAGGAGAGCACAGCACCCTGAGGTCAAGCTTCTGCTCACACCCACACCCACCAGCCTTTATTAGCAGCTCTTATCTCTGCTACAAAACCACTGCCTCTCGGCTGCTATAAGAAGGAACAACATCATCTTATATCAGACCTGGAGGGGTTTGTGGGTGTGTGTGTTTCAGAGAGAGAAGTGTGTGTGTGGTGTGTGTGTGTGTGTGTGTGGACGTGTTTAACTATACTTGAAAACCAGAAGTCCCCACAACAATAGTAGACAAACAAAGATTTGACCAACTGGGGACATTTTGTTTGTCCCCACAAGGAAAAAGGTTAGAATTAGGGTTAAAGGGTTAAGGTTAGGAGTTAGGGTTAGTTTTAGGGTTAAGGTTAGGTTTTGGAGTTAGGGTTAAGATTAGGGTTAGGGTATGGTTTCATCAGACCATAGAATCTTGTTTCTCATGGTCTGAGAGTCTTTAGGTGCCTTTTGGCTAACTCCAAGCGGGCTGTCGTGCCTTTTTTCTGAGAGTGGCTTCCTTCTGGTGGAGTACTGCAGAGATGGTTGTCCTTCTGGAAGATTCTCCCATCTCCACAGAGGAACTCTAGAGCTCTGTCAGTGACCATCGGGTTCTTGGTCAACTCCCTGACCAAGGCCCTTCTCCCCAGATTGCTCAGTTTGGCCGGGCGGCCAGCTCTAGGAAGAGTCTTGGTGGTTCCAAACTTCTTCCATTTAAGAATGATGGAGGCCACTGTGTTCTTCGGGACCTTCAATGCTGCATAAATGTTTTGGTACCCTTCCCCAGATCTGTGCCTCGACACAATCCTGTCTCGGAGCTCTACGGACAATTCCTTCGACCTCATGGCTTGGTTTTGCTCTGACATGCACTGTCAACTGTGGGACCTTATATAGACAGGTGTGTGCCTTTCCGAATCATGTCCAATCAATTTAATTTACCACAGGTGGACTCCAATCAAGTTGTAGAAACATCTCAAGGATGATCAATGGAAACAGAATGCACCTGAGCTAAATTTCGAGTCTCATAGCGAAGGGTCTGAATACTTATGTAAATAAATTATTTCTGGTTTATTTTTATTTTTATGCATTTGCTACATTTTCTAAAAACCTGTTTTCGCTTTGTCATTATGGGGTTTTGTGTGTAGATTGATGAGGATTTTTATTTATTTATTCCTTTTTAGAATAAGGCTGTAATGTAACAAAATGTGGAAAAGGTAAAGGGGTCTGAATACTTTCTGAATGCATTGTAAGTAAGTTAACAACTCATGCAAATTGCACACTACATAACTTGGTGCCAACTTGCTCTGAGTGGAGCCTGTGTTGTTTTTCTACCTGGTGAACGTTGTGACTTGTGTAGTCTCTTGCTTCTCCCTTGGATGCAGAGTTTGTGCCAGCCTCTCACCTACCTACCTACCTACGTATAAAACAACCAATAACAACTGATTCTGTGAGCTCTAAATACCAGCTACTCGAACACCTTTTAGTGGTGCCATATGCCTTTAAAAAAAAAGGTAATATATTTTATACCACAGCCTAGCACAGTCAGAGCTATGAATTTCAAGAGAGTGCTCTGTCCATCTCCTCGGTGTCATATCCTGCATCCTACGTATCATAACAGGGCTCGCCAACCCTGTTCCTAGAGAGATACCATCCTGTAGGTTTTTGCTCCAACTCTAATCTAATAATTAGCTGGTTGATAAGCTGAATCAGACAGCCTACAGCGAGGAGGTGAGAGTCCTGGCGGAGTGGTGCCAGGACAATAACCTCTCCCTCAACGTCAACAAAACGAAGGAGCTGATCGTGGACTTCAGGAGACAGTAGAGGCTGCAGTGGAGAAGGTAAAAGCTTCAGGTTCCTCGGCGTACACATCACTGACAATCTGAAATGGTCCACCAACAAGACAGTGTGGTGAAGAAGGCGCAATAGCGCCTCTTCAACCTCAGGAGGCTGAAGAAATTTGGCTTGGCCCCTAAGACCCTCACAAACTTTTACAGATGCACCATTGAGAGCATCTTGTCGGGCTGTATCACCGCCTGGTACGGCAACTGCACCATCCGCAACCTAAGGGCTCTCCAGACGGTGGTGCGGTCTGCCCAACGCATCACCGGGGGCACACTGCCTGCCCTCCAGGACGTCTACAGCACCCGGTGTCACAGGAAGGCCAAGAAGATCATCAAGGACCTGAGCCACGCCCTGTTCACCCCGTTACTATCTAGAAGGCAAGGTCAGTACAGGTGCATAAAAGCTGGGACCGAGAGACTGAAAAACAGCTTCTATCTCAAGGCCATCCACTAGCTGGCCTCCGCCCAGTACCCTGCCCTGAACTTAGTCACTGTCACTAGCCGGCTACCACCCGGTTACTCTACCATGCACCTTAGAGACTGCTGCCCTGTGTACATAGTCATGGAACACTGGTCACTTTAATAATGTTTACAGTACTGTTTTACCCACTTCATATGTATATACTATATTCTAGTCAAGGCCTATTCTATATAACTATTGCTGTACATATACTATTCTTCAGATATACTACATATTCTATCCAGATTCTGTCCATATTGTCTATAAATCCCATCACATTACACTCCGGACTCTGACTTTGCTCGTCCTAATATTTATTTTATTTTACTTTTTCGATATGTGTATTGATTGATATTACTGCACTGTTGGAGCTAAGCATTTCGCTACACCCGCAATAACATCTGCTAAATATGTTTGTGACCAATAAAATTTGATTTGATTTGATAGTTACAACTGGGGTTGGCTTGAAAACCAACAGGAGGGTAGCTTTCCAGGAACATGGTTGGAGAGCCCTGTGATAACATGGTAACCTTCTCCATTTCTGCCCTCTCCATCTGAACTGAATGTTTTATTGGAGGAGAACGGCAGATGCAAAAGCTCACTTCCAGGAATGACACATCTCAAGTGATTAGGGTGAAACACAGTCATCTGTGGGTTCAGTCACCATGACAACAAATATCCCCCGCACAGGATAAGCTGTTCGAGTTTCCCACCTCTTTCTGTCTTCTTTCTTCCTCTTTCTCTCCCGCTCTCATTTCCTCTCTCTGGCTGGCCCCTTGCCGGGGCACAGTGATGTCAAACACTGGTTAGAGTGTCTCTCTTAACCATGAGCCAACCCAGAATGGCCCACTGGACAAACGTTAGACAGACCCCAGTCAATGTGTGCTGTAGTCTCACCCTGTCACTGTCCCCAAAATGGAGTCTTTGTGACCCCACAGTGAGCATCCCTAGTTCCCCCACAAGGGAGTTTAGCATCTCCAGCTTGGCTCCAAACAAAACAACTGGCTGTGTTTGATGTGTGTGCGCTCACTCACGCGACGTAGTCTCGTCTGCCGATTTTAAGAAAACGAACCAAGCAGGAGGAAATGATTGACCTTCAAGTAACACTGTTTCCCCCTCCCGGCAGGTCAATCGCGGGACGTGTTTATTAACTGCGTTAAATTATTATTCTCCACAATCAGTTTAAATATGGTTTTAAGACAATTTTTATCAGAGAGATGACATCACGACGTGCAGCCGCGATAAATCAACGCAAAGCATCCTTTATGGGTCAGAGCCCTGTCTGTCTGTCTGTGCCTGTTGTCTGTCAGTCATTAGAAACAGGACCTTACTGTGTCCATTCCCTGCATGATGTCACCACCACACAGCCGGATCCACAGCAGACAACAAGCCTTTATGTTGTGTGTACAGTTACCAAAAACACAACATACAGGTTACTGCCAAAATAAAGGAAACACTTGAGTAAATGATGGATACAAAGTATATTGAAAGCAGGTGCTTCCACACAGGTGTGGTTCCTGAGTTAATTAAGCAATTAACATCCCATGATTCTTAGGGTTATGTATAAAAATGCTGGGCAGGCCATTATTTTGGCGATTATTTTAACTACTATGGCTATCATGGCTATGCCCCCATAGGATGGCAATGCCCCCATCCACTAGGTACGAGTGGTCACTGAATGGTTTGATGAGCATGAAAACGATGTAAACCATACGCCATGGCCGTCTCAGTCACCAGATCTCAACCCAATTGAACACTTATGGGAGATTCTGGAGTGGCGCCTGAGATTGCTTTTTCCACCACCATCAACAAAACACCAAATTATGGAATTTCTCATGGAAGAATGGTGTCGCATCCCTCCAATAGAGTTCCAGACACTTGTAGAATATATGCAAAGGCACATTGAAGCTATTCTGGCTCGTGGTGGCCAGAACAGCTTCAAGACACTTTACGTTGGCGTTACCTTTTCGCAGAATCTGTACATACAACACACAACAACCTCTGACTGAGTGAGACATTTGCCTAACAAATCAAGCTGGTCATCTTACATTTATGCAGAAACAGGGGCATTAGGGTATTGGCCCTCCTGTAGCTCAGTTGGTAGAGCATGGCGCTTGCAACGCAAGGGTTGTGTGTTCGATTCCCACAGGTGGCCAGTATGAAAAATGTATGCACTCACTAATTGGAAGTCGCTCTGGATAAGAGCGTTTGCTAAATGACTAAAATGTAAAAATGTAAATGACGTGGGCCTCCCGAGTGGTGCAGCGGTCTAAGGCACTGCATCGCGGTGCTTGAGGCGTCACTACAGATCCGAGTTTGATCCCAGGCTGTGTCACAACCGGCTGTGACTGGGAGTCCCATAGGGCGGCGCACAATTGGCCCAGCGTAATCCGGGTTAGCGGAGGGTTTGGCCGGGGGTGCTTTACTTGGCTCATCACGCTCTAGCGACTCCTTGTGGCTGGGCGGGCGCCTGCAGGCTGACTTCGGTCGTCAGTTGAACGGTGTTTCCTCCGACACATTGGTGCAGCTGGCTTCCGGGTTAAGCGGGCAGGTGTTAAGGAGCGTGGTTTGGCGGGTCATGTTTCGGAGGACGCATGACTCGACCTTCGCCTCTCTCGAGCCTGTTGTGGAGTTGCAGCGATGAGACAAGATCGTAATTGAAATTGGGAGAAAAAGGGGGTAAAATCCGAAAAAATAAAAGCCACGACGTATGTTGTCGGCGGCGCGCACAGTTTTGATCCCTGTTTGGTATTGGCATGCAACTCATTCTGATGACGCTCAGTCGGGGTTTATTTAATATTTTTGACTGTTCAGCTGTGAGATTCAGAGTTCTCTTCCTTAGAAGTCGATTCTGATGAAGGTCAGTATGGCCAAAACATAAATGTCTTTAAAAAGTAATTGAATAGTTGTTGTTTTTTGACAAGCCAGAATTGTACTTCTGCTTTCCTGCATTGTGAACTTAACTGAACTGTGTTCTTAGCTATGCCATATCCCTGTGTGGTGCTGTTCAAAGTCTGCTGAGTTAAGTCCATCCATGGTGGTATGGCTCTGAACTATGCTGTGTTCTTTTCTGTGCAGAATCCCCTGAGTGCGGTACCTCCATGGTGGTCCACACCAGTGTTCCCTTTGGTATCAAACACCTGGAGGAGGCCAAGGAGCAGGTGGAGCCTCTCATCCTGGAGGAGCTGAACAAGCTGCTGCCTGGCCTGCCACAGCCCGACAGCATCAAGTGCCAGAAGTGGAGATACTCACAGGTGAGCGGGGTTACTCGGACAGGAGTTTTACAGCATTTCTTCATTGATAGAAAAGAACAAAATGGGACAAACACCAAATTGAGACTGCATGCAGAATTCTGCAAAAATATCCTCTGTGTACAACGAAAAACACAAAATAATGCATGCAGAGCATAATTAGGCCGATACCCGCTAATGATCAAAATCCAGAAAAGAGCCGTTAAATTCTATAACCACTTAAAAGGAAGCGATTCCCTAACCTTCCATAACAAAGCCATCACCTACAAAGAGATGAACTTGGAGAAGAGTCCCCTAAGTAAGCTGGTCCTGGAGCTCTGTTCACAAACAGACCCCACAGAGCCACAGGACAACAACAACAACACAATTAGACCTAACCAAATCATGAGAAAACAAAAAGAGAATTACTTGACACATTGGAAATAATTAACAACAAAACAGAGCAAACTAGAATGCTATTTGGCTCTAAACAGAGAGGACACAGTGGCCGAATACCTGACCACTGTGACTGACCCAAACTTAAGGAAAGCTTTGACTATGTACAGACTCAGTGAGCATAGCCTTGCTATTGAGAAAGGCCGCCGTAGGCAGACCTGGCTCTCAAGAGAAAACAGGCTATGTGCACACTGCCTACAAAATGAGGTGGAAACTGAGCTGCACTTCCTAACCTCCTGCCAAATGTATGACCATATTAGAGACACATATTTCCCTGAGATTACAGAGATCCACAAAGAATCCGAAAACAAACCCAATTTTGATAAACTCCCTTATCTACTGGGTGAAAAACCACAGTGTGCCATCACAGCAGCAAGATTTGTGACCTGTTGCCACAAGAAAAGGGCAACCACTGAAGAACAAACACCATTGTAAATACAACCCATATTTATGTTTATTTATTTTCCCATTTGTACTTTAACTATTTGCACATTGTTACAACACTGTATATATATACATAATATGACATTTGAAATGTCTTTATTCTTTTGGAACTTCTGAGTGTAATGTTTACTGTTAATATGTATTGTTTATTTCACTTTTGTTTACTATCTACTTCACTTGCTTTGGCAATGTTAACATACATTTCCAATGCCAATAAAGCCGAGAGAGAGTTTGAGTTTTTATAAAACCTTTATTTTTTACTCAAGTGTTAACACAAATATTGGCACACTGCCTTTTCAGAAATGAAACAACAAATGTCATTCCTAAATAAAAACAAAAACATATACATTCAACTCATTTCATCAACAAAAAATAGTTTCCCCTCCTCCACAAAACAAACCGCTCCTTCGTAGGCCCACTGTCACGATCGTTGTAAGAACCGGACCAAGGCGCAGCGTGATAGGCGTACATCTTTTAATGAGTACTTTAACAATAACAACAAAACGATACGTGAAGTCTAAAGGTTAAACACCACAAACCTATACAGATCAAGATCCCACAATTAACTGTGCCAAACAGGCTGCCTAAGTATGGTTCCCAATCAGAGACAACGAGAATCAGCTGCCTCTGATTGGGAACCACCCTGGCCAACATAGAAAACAACGATCTAGAACAGAAACCTAGAAAACTAAACATAGAAACTAACACCCTGGCTCAACATTAAAGAGTCCCCAGAGCCAGGGCGTGACACCCACTTCTACTCAAACAATGGGAGATCTTTTACAGCCGAGAAGAACTCAAAATCCACTTTTATTCTCGCTTTCACTAATCCTTTAAAAACACATCTTACATCCTGCCCATATCCCGTTTCTATGTTATGTTTCCTACTCAGAAAAATTGACATCTTAGCTTGTCCCAAAATAAAATTTAACAGTTTACATTTTCTTTTCTGTTGCATACTATATTGAAACCCCAAAATAAAAACAGTGTTATTGAAAATATCCCCTACAGCTTTAAACAAAGACTCCAGCATTTCCAAGAGAGGTTTTATCCTCTCACACTCCATAAAACAGTGAAAATTTGTTTCTCTTATATTACAAAAAGGACATCCATCTCCAACATCTGAGTTAAGAACAGATACAAAAGCATTAACTGCAATGATGCCATGCAAAACCCTCCAATGCATATCCCCAGTACCCTTTTGTAATGGTGGCTTGTACAGTGCTCTCCATGCTGGCTTTACCTTGCCCAATTTTACCCTCCATGGAGTGCCTTTTCTATTTTTCAATGTATCTTTATTCAACACCTTGACACACCCCCTATATAAGTCTTTCCCATTCACCTCATCCAAACGCCTTTCTTTCTGACTCTGGGATATTGGGTGTAATCCCTAGTCTTGGAAATTAGACATTTTCATCTTGTACCTTCTTCTTGTGACTATTCAGCGTACCCCACTCTTCTGCTGACAGAGCCTTCCTGCAGCTTCCCAGCAGTTGTCCGACAATCCTTTCCGAACTCACCCCCAAATGTTCAGCCACCCGTCTTCCATCCATTAAGGCGGGCCCAGCCATGGCCATTAACTGTTTTAAGGTGATGATTTTGCCCTTCACCAGAATCTTGGAGAAATGTGGAACAGCTGCAGTTGTACAATCCAGTCTTGCCCCATACACCAGAGGTTCCTCCAACAGCCAATGCACTGACTCCGCTGAAGTTATGCTCCAGACCCTAAGAAGGCCTCTGTAAAACGGAGGTACTCCCTCCCTAGAAATCTGGCTACTATTAACCAAAAATAAAGCCTTCTTTAAACCTAATCCCCCAACCTGCTGTAATACAAGACCTGCCACCCCTCTCCAAACCACATTTTCCGGTCCATAAAGCAACCTTTGAATAAACTGAAACCGGAAAGCAGCAGCCCTACTAGCAAGATGTACAAGACCTTGTCCCCCTCCTCTTTTGACAAATACAAAACACTTTGTGGAACCCAATGATATTTATCCCAAAATAAATCTACAATAATCGCCTGTATCTTAGCCAGAAGGCCAGATGGTGGCTCTAAAACTGACAACTGATGCCACAGTGCAGAGGCAATCACATTGTTAACTATAATATCCTCCCTTCCTCCATTTCAACCACCCCAATCCAATTGTTTTCCTAGGTACACTCCAAGATACTTAAAACCTCCCTTACACCATTCCAGCCCCCCTGGCGAAGCCATGATCCCTCCAGACCATTCTCCAATCTGTAAAGCACAACTTTTTTCCCAATTTACCATTGCAGAGGATATTCCCCTAAAACAATCAACCATTAGACTCAAACTATCCACCTCCGCTTGATTTTTCACTAAAACAGCTACATCATCAGCATACGCTGAGAGACGAATAGGAGGAATATCCTCTGAAAGGTACACCCTTCAATGCGACTTCTAATGCTATTTAGTAGTGGCTCTATAGCAATGGCATATACAGTTGAAGTCGGAAGTTTACATACACCATAGCCAAACACATTTAAACTCAGTTTTTCACAATTCCTGACATTTAATCCTAGTAAAAATTCCCTGTCTTAGGTCAGTTAGGATCACCACTTTATTTTAAGAATGTGAAATGTCAGAATAATAGTAGAGAGAATGATTTATTGCTTTTATTTATTTCATCACATTCCCAGTGTGTCAGAAGTTTACATACACTCAATTAGTATTTGGTAGCATTGCCTTTAAATTGTTTAACTTGGGTCAAACGTTTCGTGTAGCCTTCCACAAGCTTCCCACAATAAGTTGGGTGAATTTTGACCCATTCCTCCTGACAGAGCTGGTGTAACTGAGTCAGGTTTGTAGGCCTCCTTGCCTGCACACGCTTTTTCAGTTCTGCCCACACATTTTCTATAGGATTGAGGTCAGGGCTTTGTGATGGCCACTCCAATACCTTTACTTTGTTGTCCTTAAGCCATTTTGCCACAACTTTGGAAGTATGCTTGGGGTCATTGCCCATTTGGAAGACCCATTTGCGACCAAGCTTTAACTTCCTGACTGATGTCTTGAGATGTTGCATCAATATATCCACATAATTTTCCTTCCTCATGATGCCATCGATTTTGTGAAGTGCACCAGACCCTCCTGCAGCAAAGCACCCCCACAGCATGATGCCGCCACCCCCGTGCTTCATGGTTGGGATGGTGTTCTTCGGCCCCCTTTTTACTCCAAACAGAACGATGGTCATTATGGCCAAACTGTTCTATTTTGTTTAATCAGAACAGAGGACATTTCACCAAAAAGCACGATCTTTGTCCCCATGTGCAGTTGCAAACCGTAGTCTGGCTTTTTTATGGCGGTTTTGGAGCAGTGGCTTCTTCCTTGCTGAGCGGCCTTTCAGGTTTATGTCGATATAGGACTCGTTTTACTGTGGATATAGATACTTTTGTACCTGATTCCTCCAGCATCTTCACAAGGTCCTTTGCTGTTGTTCTGGGATTGATTTGCATTTTTCGCACCAAAGTATGTTCATCTCTAGGAGACAGAACGCGTCTCCTTCCTGAGCAGTATGACGGCTGCGTGGTCCCATGGTGTTTATACTTGCCTACTATTGTTTGTACAGATGAACGTGGTACCTTCAGGCGTTTGGAAATAGCTCCCAAGGATGAACCAGACTTGTGGAGGTCTACAATTCTTTTTCTGAGGTCTTTCCTGATTTCTTTTGATTTTCCCATGATGTCAAGCAAAGAGGCACTGAGTTTGAAGGTAGGCCTTGAAATACATCCACAGGTACACCTCCAATTGACTCAAATGATGTCAATTAGCCTATCAGACGCTTCTACAGCCATGACATCATTTTCTGGAATTTTCCAAGCTGTTTAAAGACACAGTCAACTTAGTGTGTGTAAACTTCTGACCCACTGGAATTGTGATACATTGAATTATAAGTGAAATAATCTGTCTGTAGTATGTAAACTTCCGACTGCAACTGTAACATTCCCGACAAAGAACATCCCTGCCTAATACCTCTACATACTTTAAAAGGAGCACTCAAGCCACCGTTAACTTTCAATACACTTTCAATGTCACCATATATCACCTTTATCATGGCAATAAAACCAGAGCTGAAACCAAACGCCTCAAAAGTGTGCCATAAGTATTGATGTTCAACTCGGTCAAATACCTTTTCCTGATCAATTGAAATTAGACCAGCATCCAACCCAATAGCCCTAGAGACGTCCAAAAAATCCTGAATCAGAGAAATGTTATCCCCTATCTGCCTGCCAGGAACACAGTAGGACTGGTCCGTATGATTTGCCCCATCACCTCCCTCAGCCTGTTGGACAAAGCCTTTGACAGGATCTTATAATCAGTGCACAATAAAGCCACCGGCCTCCAGTTCTTCACCTCCCTAGGGTCACACTTTTTGGGCAGTAGGGTGAGGACAGCCCTTCTGCAGCTTATTGGTAGTAACCCTCCGGTTATACTATCATTAACTACTGCTAGCCAATCCTTTCCCAACATAGCCCAGAAATACTTTAAAAAGTAAACGGGAAGCCCATCAACGCCTGGTGCCCTTCCATTTTCCATGCCTTTTAATGCAGTGTATAGCTCCTGCAAAGACAATGGTTGCTCTAGCTCAACCTGAGCTTCTGCAGCCACCTGTGGGAGCCCATCAAGGAACTGCTGTGTCACTGTTTTATCCTCTTTGTACTCACACTTGTAGAGCTCAGCATTGAACTCTACTGCCCTCTTTCTAATTTCACTAGGGCTAGTGAGCTCCTGTCCAACAGCTGATTTGAGACAACGAATAATTCTTCTTTGTCCATTCTTTTTCTCTAAACCAAAGAAAAATGTGGATGAGGCATCCATTTCAGAGATTCCCTGAAACTTACTTCTCACCAATGCCCCCTGTGCTCTGATACCCAGCAGGTCTGCCAATGCAGCTTTTTTCCTCTTGAGGGCCTATGGCCTCGATCTCCTGTGGTCTCAACCAACGTCATGAGTTCCACTATTTCAGTCTCTAGGGCTTTCATTGATCTGGTGATGTCCTTAGTGACATTCATTTACATTTTACATTTTAGTCATTTAGCAGACGCTCTTATCCAGAGCGACTTACAGTTAGTGAATACATATTTTTTTTATACTGGCCCCCCGTGGGAATCGAACACACAACCCTGGCGTTGCAAACGCCATGCTCTATCAACTGAGCTACATCACTGCCGGCCATTCCCTCCCCTACCCTGGACGACGCTGGGCCAATTGTGCGCCGCCCATGAGTCTCCCGGTCGCGGCCGGCGGCGACAGAGCCTGGATTCGAACCAGGATCTCTAGTGGCACAGTTAGCACTGCGATGCAGTGCCTTAGACCACTGCGCCACATTCCTCGTGTATTGATTACAGAATTGTTGAATCTGGATTTTCCCTATATCCCACCACTGTTGAAGGGATACAAAACTGGCCTTTTGAGACCTCCACCTCTCCCAGAAAAAACTTAAACATTTCCTGAAGTGAGCATCACTCAATAAAGTTATATTAAAATGCCAGTATGCGCTTTTGGGTTTTACATCGTTAATGAACACCACCTCTGTTATTAAACAATGATCTGAAAACACTTGATTTACAGACCTGAGATTGATGCTCAAAACAATGAAACCTATCTAACCTGGCCATAGAGATGATGTTCTCTCTCACATGTGTCCAGGTGTACTGTCTCGTGCCTCCATGTGGACTCCGCCAGATATCACACAGTTAATGTGTTACAATGAGGCGTTTTTAAAAAGTCCTTGAGGCTATATGAGGTTCTTTGTGATTTCTATCTAAATCACTGACTGTGCAGTTAAAATCCCCAGCAATAAATAAATAATCCTCATTATTACATTTCTCAATGGTATTTGATAATGTCTCTAAAAAACATACCCTCTCAACTGCCACCACTGGGGCAAATACATTTATCAGACACATAGTGATGTTTTCATACCTTGCTCTAACTTTTAATAACCTCCCCTCAACTACCTCTTCAACCTCATATGATAAAGGCAAGAACCCTTTTGAGAACAAGATGGCCACACCCACACTTTTTGAGTTTTTATGACTACACACCACTGTCCCCCCCCACTCCTGTTGCCACATAACTTCATTTTCCAAATTACTATGCGTTTCTTGCAGAACATTTATGTCACTTCCCTTTCCCCTAATTAACTCATACACTATGGCTCTTTTTTTTTACGTCTCTCGCCCCATTTACGTTTAAAGAATAAATCTTAAAACTGCTCATGGATGAAAAAAAAAAATACAGAGGAAGACACAGAAACCACATCTCTTTACAGAGTTAAGGCTGCGACTGTACGCTTTCATTTTCTTTTGAATTTCCATCACTTATCACTCTCGTGACCACTTTCTTGAGTCTAGCAATTTCAGGGCCTGTCAAACCTCCCCCTGTTATTTTTGGCATCAGAAACTTTGCTGATTCAATAAACAATTCACTTTCAGGAAAAAAAATCTGTTACATTATAATCCTGCATATATTTATTCCCTTTTGTCAACTTCAGAAATTGACGTACCTTCTCAATCCCATACCTCCCTTCCACCCCATTTATCTCACTATTTTGTTGTGACGCATCAGATGACTCACTCTTGCTATCCTCCCCAGAAGAAAACTCCACCATCTCTTCAACCTGTTTATCTTCAACTGATTTATCAATATCTACCTTCCTCTTGGAATTAGACCCTTCACCACCCCTTACATTCTTCCTCTTACTCCTCGGTACTTTGAAAACAGCTGCTTCCTTTTCCATTATTTCAATCTCCTCGACCTCCAATTTCATTTTCCAGCACCACCTCAGCGACGGCAGTCGCAATCTCACCGACTGTTTCCCCTCCTTCTTTGTTCTGATCTACCACAATTGCCCCCTTATCCACACTGCCTTCGTTTCCTACTTTTCCAACCACATCTGCCCACCTTCTCCCTTCCCCTGCACCCTTAGCATGTTCATCCCTTCGCGGTGGTCCGTTAGCTGCACCAGCACTAGAGCTGCTACCAGACAGTTCTCGGGACAATTACGTACCAAATGCCCCTCTCTTCCACAGCCAAAGCAGTTCTTTGATTCAGTAGAAGCGTAGAAGACATAATCAAATCCATCAATCTTAAAACGGAATGCTAAATTCAGTTCATCAATGTCCTTTTTTTAAATCATATGCACTTGTCTCCTATGAGACACGACATGTTTCAGCAAAGGAGATTTGCATCCAAAAAGAACCTTCTTTATTGTAGATACAATTTGACCATGACGAGATAACTCTCGCTCCAACACTTCATCTCTAACAAATGGTGGCACGTTAGAAAGTATAACTTTCTTCGCCGGATTCATAAGTGGAAATACCGGCGTCTGTGTCTCCCGCAACACAACACCACTCTCAACTATTGTATTCACCTTTTCAATGGAATCTAAGAATATCACTACAGCGCTATTCATCCTTGAGGCTGATTTGATGCTATCATACCCAATGATAGCACCCACTGCCAAGCTACATTCTTCCACTGAACACCCGGCCGCAGCAGGAATCTTTACTCCATGCCGCCGACTAAGTTTTTCAAACTCCAAACTTCCGCGAGTGACCATTGCAACCAGCCCCACCCGCTGGTTGTGCCCTCACGAAAAACAACCTCAACGATCCCACCACCCCTATACGTGCTTAGTGATAGTTAGACAAGATAACCTTAAAACAACTAAACTAATCAATATATATCCATAATTCACTGGACAGTGACCATTCTTTTGTTATTTTGGTTCTGTACTCTAGCACTTTGAGTTTGAAAGGATACAATGACAATGAGGGTGAAGTGCAGACTGTCAGCTTTAATTTGAGGGTATTTTCATACATATCGGATTAACCGTTTACGAATTATAGAAGCTTTTGTACATGGTCCCCCCCATTTTCGGGCATCAAAAATCATTGGACAGTTCAACATAATGTAGAATAAAGTAATCATTGTTAATATTTGGTCGCATATCCTTTGCATGCAATGACTGCTTGAAGTCTGCGATGCATCGCCATCACCAGACGCTGGGTATCTTCCCTGGTGATGCTCTGCCAGGCCTGTACTGCAGCCATCTTCAGTTCCTGCTTGTTTCGGGGACTTATTGCCTTAAGTCTCCTCTTCAGCATGTAAAATGCATGTTCAATTGGATTCAGATCTGGTGATTGACTCGGCCAGTCAAGGTTTTTCCACTTTTTGGCCATCAAAAACCCCTTTGTTGCTCTAGCAGTATGTTTAGGGTCATTGTCTTGTTGCGTGATTAAGTGCCGTCCAATGAGTTTGGAGGCATTTGGTTTTATCTGAGCAGATAAAATATTTCTGTAGACTTCAGAATTCATTGTTCTACTTCTGTCTGCAGTCACATCATCGATGAAGACAAGTGAGCCTGTTCCACTGGCAGCCATACAGGCCCAAGCCATAACACCCCCTCCACCATGTTTCATGGATGAGGTGGTATGCTTTGGATCATGGGCATTTCTTTTTTTTCTCCACACTTTTGTCTTTCCATCACTCTGGTACATGTTAATCTTTGTCTCATCTGTCCACAATATTTTTTTCCAGAACTCTTGGGGTTCTTTTAGGTGCTTTTTAGCAAACTGTAATCTTGCCTTTCTGTTCTTCAGGCTTATCAGTGGTTTGCATCTTGTAGTGTACCCTCTGTAGTCCTGCTGGTGTAGTCTTCTGCGTATGGTAGACTTTGACACATCTACACCTGCATCCAGGAGAGTGTTTTTGATCTGTTGGGATGTTATCAGGGGTTTTTTCTTCACCATAGAGAGTATTCTCCGGTCATCCACTACAGTGGTCTTCCTCTGTCTACCGGGTCTTTTGACATAATTGAGTTCACCGGTTGTTTTTTTCTTGTTAATGATGAACAAAACTGTTGACTTGGGCATGGCCAGGGTTTTTGCAATGTTCCTGAATGATTGATTTTCATTTCTGAGCCTTATGACGGCCAACTTCATTTGCATCGACACTGCTGTCTTCCTCATGTTGTCACACCCCAATAACAACCTCCAAAGGCAATAGCAACGTCTAGAATCATTACTATTCATCAACAGCTCTCCTGCATTCACTAACGACACAAATGAATACACCTGCCTAACGACACACATCTGTGAAGCCAATTTAACAAATACTTGTAGTACCTTAAAATGGGGGGACCATGTACAAAAGGTGCTGTCTTTTCTAAACGGTTCATCCGATATGTATGAAAATACCCTCAAATTAAAGCTGACAGTCTGCACTTCACCCTCATTGTCATTGTATCCTTTCAAACTCAAAGTGCTAGAGTACAGAACCAAAATAACAAAACAATGGTCACTGTCCAATGAATTATGGAGCTCACTGTATATATATATATATATATATACACCAAAACCCAATAGAGTGAAAATAATTCCAGTCGCTCTCACAATCACTCCTGCTTCACAACTCACTCCCAGCATGCACTCCAATGAGAGAGAGAGAGAATTGACTTGAGTGACATGCTGTATCTATCATGATCACACCCTATTCAACTTCAATGTATTACATTTCTCTGCTTGTGTACGCTACATGAGTGTAGTGTATGGCGACGGGTTGGACATGGTGTTCCTTTTTCAAGTAGCTCCAATGTCCTGTTTACTTACTGGGATGTTTCCCTGAATTTCTGTGCTTCTTCGACCAAACACTGTAGCTTTATTTACAGAAGTCCAACAAGAACATGTCTCTCTCTCTCTCTCTCGGTTTCATTCATTCTCTCTCTCTCTCTCTCGGTTTCATTCTCTCTCGCGGTTTACTTCTCTTGGTCTCATTCGCTCTCCCTCTCTCTATCATTCTATCTCACTCTCTTTCTCACTCTTTCTCTCTTTCGCTCTCTTTCTTCCTCTCTCTCTCGCTCCAACACACTCACACACACTCTGCTAAGCGGGGCTGGACTGGGCTGGGGGCCAGAGGCCACAGAACATCTGTGTGGGAGGACACATCACTGGGAGTGCCAGAGCATGGGCCAAGGCCCACTGGAACTGGACGGGCCATGATAGAACACATGCACATTTGTACTGTAACACACACCCACACTCATACCATACACACATCAACTACCTGTCAAATACACAAGCAGTCATTCTAACAAAGACCATTCTGACAGCGAGGAACATGAATGGGGTTTGCAACACCAGGGTTGTGCGTTTGATTCCCACGGGGGACCAGTACGAAAATGGATAAGACCGTCTGCTAAATGACAAGTGTAAAATTTAAAAATATATAAGGAAATTATTGATCCTAACAGTTATAGTAGTTAACTGTTGCTTAGAGGTAGGTTATAGGTTGCTTTCTCTTTAGATACTTCTGTTATGAAACAGCCATATTCTCAGCTGCTAGAATCTCATGCTTTCCTTGCTATAGAACGTGTTTATATTGGGGCATTTATCTTAATGTCCCAAACCCTGCTCCTCCTCCACTCTCTGTGCTCTTTGCCCTGGAAAATCAACCTCACACTGTATATGGAGACGGCAGAGCTCAGGGCCGCTGTATCAACTTACCACTAGAGTAAACCAAACAATTTGTCCATGGCCAGATTTCAACAAGAATGCTTATCAATTGATTTACATGGTGATTACCATTCAGAAATGCATGGGCAAACAAAATATGTAGTTTTTCGGGAGGAGTGAGGATGGAGGGAGGTAGAGGGTGGGGGTTGATATCAGCACACAGTAGACTATTAAAAGCCCCAGCAGGAAATGGATACTATTTCCTTACCCTTAGCGGTGAGGGGCAGCGTACCTCAGTGCAGGCCAGCAGAAGCCTCTGAAATGGCCCTCGCTGTGACACGTACACAGACTTGTGTGTTTACACTCCCAAGTCATTAGCACACTGAACTCTCGCCGTTCAGGATTGAAACATGAGGAAGACAGTTGGCTGCGAGGCTGATTTCATATCTGCTCGTCTAGCCAAAGACGGTGCATTTTTCTGTCTTGATCCGTACTATCCCACCACACGAGGTTAGTGGTACCTTAATTGGGGAGGACGGGCTCGTGGTAATGGCTGGAGTGGAATTAGTGGAATGGTATCAAATACATCAAACACATGGTTTCCATGTACTTCAGTAGAGTAGTGTAGAGATTCATATTTTCCTGAAAATCGACGAAGTTTCAATATTGGTAATAATTCAGATTTATCCCAAGAGTCCAGTGAAATACCGCAAAAATCAGAAGTGCCCCCCTCCCTCTCCACCCCCCCCCCCTCTCTCTTTCTCTACTAATTAGGTGAGGAGCTCTGTGGCTGACTGCCCGGGGCAGATGACGCTGCTGCCCCAGCCTCTGTTGGTGTGTGGGGGTGACGGCTTCACACATTCCAATTTCGATGGCTGTATCGAGTCTGCCCTGAAGGTGTTTGACGTTCTGAAGTCCTCTCTCTGATGCCGCCTTCGGGGGGTAGGGGGAATGGGATTATAGTGTGGGGGGGGGGGTTTTATGTGTACAGTATGTTAGCCCAGAGAGGGGTGGTACTGCCATTGATCCATTAACCTAACCCCCCCCCCCCCCATCTCTGTGAATGAATGGAATCTGTAAAACATCAGTTAAATCATCCACTGAGGTACTTGATATGGTGTGCAATGCTACAGTCAACACCATATGTATTTGGACAGTGAAGCTACAATTTAAAACGTCTCTTTACTCTAGAATTTTTGGATTTCAGAATATTTCATATTAGGCGACAGTACAAAATGTCACCTTTTGTTGGTGGTAATGTTCATACATATCTGTTTTTACCATTTAGAAATGAAAGCACTTTATGTATCTAGTCGTCCCCCCCTCCCCCATTTTAAGAAGTCATAAGTATTCGGACAAATTCACTTACAGTGGGGAGAACAAGTATTTGATACACTGCCGATTTTGTTGGTTTTCCTACTTACAAAGCATGTAGAGGTCTGTAATTTTTATTATAGGTTCACTTCAACTGTGAGAGACGGAATCTAAAACAAAAATCCAGAAAATCACATTGTATGATTTTTAAGTAATTCATTTTCATTTTATTGCATGACATAAGTATTTGATACATCAGAAAAGCAGAACTTAATATTTGGTACAGAAAACTTTGTTTGCAATTACAGAGATCATACGTTTCCTCTAGGTCTTGACCAGGTTTGCACACACTGCAGCAGGGATTTTGGCCCACTCCTCCATACAGACCTTCTCCAGATCCTTCAGGTTTCGGGGCTGTCGCTGGGCAATACGGACTTTCAGCTCCCTCCAAAGATGTTCTATTGGGTTCAGGTCTGGAGACTGGCTAGGCCACTCCAAGACCTTGAGATGCTTCTTACGGAGCCACTCCTTAGTTGCCCTGGATGTGTGTTTCGGGTCGTTGTCATGCTGGAAGACCCAGCCACGACCCATCTTCAATGCTCTTACTGAGGGAAGGAGGTTGTTGGCCAAGATCTCATGATACATGGCCCCATCCATCCTCCCCTCAATACGTTGCAGTCGTCCTGTCCCCTTTGCAGAAAAGCATCCCCAAAGAATGATGTTTCCACCTCCATGCTTCACGGTTGGGATGGTGTTCTTGGGGTTGTACTCATCCTTCTTCTTCCTCCAAACACGGCGAGTGGAGTTTAGACCATAAAACTCTATTTTTGTCTCATCAGACCACATGACCTTCTCCCATTCCTCCTCTGGATCATCCAGATGGTCATTGGCAAACTTCAGACGGGCCTGGACATGCGCTGGCTTGAGCAGGGGGACCTTGCGTGCGCTGCAGGATTTTAATCCATGACGGCGTAGTGTGTTACTAATGGTTTTCTTTGAGACTTTGGTCCCAGCTCTCTTCAGGTCATTGACCAGGTCCTGCCGTGTAGTTCTGGGCTGATCCCTCACCTTCCTCATGATCATTGATGCCCCACGAGGTGAGATCTTGCATGGAGTCCCAGACCGAGGGTGATTGACCATCATCTTGAACTTCTTCCATTTTCTAATAATTGCGCCAACAGTTGTTGCCTTCTCACCAAGCTGCTTGCCTATTGTCCTGTAGCCCATCCCAGCCTTGTGCAGGTCTACATTTTTATCCCTGATGTCCTTACACAGCTCTCTGGTCTTGGCCATTGTGGAGAGGTTGGAGTCTGTTTGATTGAGTGTGTGAACAGGTGTCTTTTATACAGGTAACGAGTTCAAACAGGTGCAGTTAATACAGGTAATGAGTGGAGAACAGGAGGGCTTCTTAAAGAAAAACTAACAGGTCTGTGAGAGCCGGAATTCTTACTGGTTGGTAGGTGATCAAATACTTATGTCATGCAATAAAATGCAAATTAATTACTTAAAAATCATACAATGTGATTTTCTGTTTTAGATTCAGTCTCTCACAGTTGAAGTGTACCTATGATAAAAATGACAGACCTCTACATGCTTCGTAAGTAGGAAAACCTGCAAAATCGGCAGTGTATCAAATACTTGTTCTCCCCACTGTATGTGTATTAAAGTAGTCAAACATTTAGTTTTTGGTCCCTTATTCCTAGCACGCAAAGACTACGTCAAGCTTGTGACTACAAACATGTTGGATGCATTTGCAGTTTGTTTTGGTTGTGTTTCGGATTATGTTATGCCCAATAGGAACTGAATGGTGAATAATGTATTGTGTCACTTTTATTATAAATGTGGATGCTACCATGATTATGGATAATCATGAATGAATTGTGAATAATGATGAGTGAGAAACTTAGATGCACGAAGATCACCCCCCCCAAAAAAATAAATGCTAACATCGCCTGTTATTGGTAATGGTGAGATGTTAGCATGTTTTGTTGTAGCCTTTGTAACTTTCTCACTCATCATTATTCATAATTCATTTAGGATTTTTATTAATCATGGCATTATCAGAATTAATTTAGAAGTGTTCAGAAACATCTCACTTAGAAAGGAAATTACTCCAGTCATCTTTCACCAATCAGTTACTATTGGGCAAAACATAACCCAAAACACAACCTAAACAAACTGCAAATGCATCCAATGAGTTTGTAGAGTCACAAGCTTGATGTGTGCAAGGAATATTGGTCCAAATAATACAATTTTGACTACTTTAATACACTGTAAGTGAATTTGTCCATATACTTATGACTTCTTCATATGGGGGGACTAGATACGTGAAGTGCTTTCATTTCTAAATGGTAAAACAGATATGTATGAAAATACCCTCAAATAAAATGTGACATGTTGTATTGTTGCCTCATATGAAACATTCTATCTCAAATCCAAAATGAGTATAGAGACAAATGTAAAAAATGTTCACTGTCCAAATCCATTTGGTGTTGTATATGCTGGTGGATGAACAGGAGACAGGCTATACTGTGTGCACATGTACACGTGTGGTTCGATGCAAAACAGGCGTGTTTAACACACCCCTTGACCTGCTAATTTAATAAGGTGTACAATGATTCTGTTCCATTGCCTTGTTTGGACAAAATGAAAAACTGTACATGTTAGTAATTGTGTTGTTACTTAGGATTTCTCGCTAAACACCTGATTTTGGTTCAGATTGAATAAAAAAGTTTTCAAACTATCTCCCACTTTGTGTCTTTAACTCCACTTGCTTGTCACACTGATAAACAGGAAGATGGCAGGTGGTATGGAAACCAATCCGCACAGAGCTTAGAGAAAAGTCGTACAAAATGGATGTGGGTAGTCAAAAAGCAATTAGAAAGCAATCAAGATCCCTTAATGACTTCTAAATGCATTTGGCAAGGTAGGCACACTATATAGTAATACCATATCTCACCCACCATTGTGTGACCCCCTGGCATTAGTAGGACTCTGGGTATGACTGCCTGGTATGACTTTCCCCAGATCTGACCTGTGCCCATGGAGGTCAAGTATCCCACTAAGAGCCCTGTGACCCTGCCACCCGTCCGTCCGTGGCAGTGTAATTCCACCCGGGGCAGCTGCCCGCCGCTGGCCGAGTTCAGCAGCTTAGTGGCAGGGCAGTAATCTGGGACAAAATGTTTGGCAGCCGGTCTGGAGAGAGAGCCCCCCCCCCCCCACCCACCCACCCACTAATCCAACATAATTTCAGCGTTTTGGGCCGGGCCCCGGGCTAGAAGTAGTAGGTCCTTTCCACTCAGCACCAAGATCAGGGTTAACATACTTTGAACCAACTCTCCATCTTAAGTGTTTAACTATTCTCTTGCATACTGAATTACTTGATGCCAGAGAAACTCGTCATAGCACACACACATACATGCAAACACGTGCCTACACAACACATACTTATACACATGCACACATATACATACAGTGGCATCGGAAAGTATTCAGACTCCTTGACTTTTTCCACATTTTGTTACGTTACAGGCCTTATTCTAAAATTGACGTTTTTTTGTTTTTTTTTTGCAATCTACACACCAATACCCCATAATGACAAAGCAAAAACAGGCTTTTAGATATATTTGCAAATGTAAAAAGAAAAAATGGAAATATCACATTTACATAAGTATTCAGACCCTTTACTCAGTACTTTGTTGAAGCACCTTTGGCAGCGATTACAGCCTCAAGTCTTCTTGGATTTGACGCTACAAGCTTGGCACACCTGTATTTGGGGAGTTTCTCCCATTCTTCTCTGCAGATCCTCTCAAGCTCTGTCAGGTTGGATGGGGAGCGTCGCTGCACAGGTATTTTCAGGTCTCTCCAGAGATGTTCAATCAGGTTCAATTCCTGGCTCTGGCTGGGCCACTCACGGACATTCAGAGACTTGTCCCGAAGCCACTTCTGTGTTGTCTTGGCTGTGTGCTTAGGGTCGTTGTCCTGTTGGAAGGTGAACCTTCGCCCCAGTCAGGTCCTGAGCCATCTGGAGCAGGTTTTCATCAAGGATCTCTCTGTACTTGGCTCCGTTCATCTTTCCCTAGATCCTGACTAGTCTCCCAGTCCCTGCCGCTGAAAAACATCCCCACAGCATGATGCTGCCACCACCATGCTTCACCTTAAGGATGATGCCAGGTTTCCTCCAGATGTGATGCTTGGCATTCAGACCAGATAATCTTTTTTCTCATGGTCTGAGAGTCTTTAGGTGCCTTTTGGCAAACTCCAAGCGGGCTGTCATGTGCCTTTTACTGAGGAGTGGCTTCCGTCTGGCCACTCTACCATAAAGGCCTGATTGGTGGAGTGCTGCAGAGATGGTTGTCCTTCTCCAGAGTTCCTTCTGGAGCTCTGTCAGAGTGACCATCGGGTTCTTGGTCACCTCCCTAACCAAGGCCCTTTTCCCACGATTGCTCAGATTGGCCGGGCGGCCAGCTCTAGGAAGAGTCTTGGTGGTTCCAAACTTCTTCCATTTAAGAATGATGGAGGCCACTGCGTTCTTGGGGACCTTCAATTCTGCAGAAATGTTTTGGTACCCTTCCCCAGATCTGTGCTTCGACACAATTCTGTCTCGGAGC